CGCTCTGGCATGTGGCTTCACAAGCTTATTCTACTTGAGGTATGTCTCGGTGCTGCTCTCCAGGCGAATTGCTTCGCCGTATATACCAATTACTAATCCACTCAGCTTGTTCTTGCCATCTGGCACGGCACCTTCATCTTCGTCGACGACCCGAGATATGGCTGGTACCTCAGCGCGACTGCAACCCTACTCTTCATATCATATTTCCTCCATAACGTCGTCTCGTGGCTCAAGATCCGACCCTTCTTACCACTCTGGGGATCTCGTTTCTTCATCATATCGCTGATCTGTGTTCAACCTTTCTGGATAGCAGAGGCGTGGTCGAACTTTGCCTACTTCAATCAACTTGCAAACGGCTCCAACATCAACCCTCGCATGCGGCCGTTTGAGGCTCTGCTGCGCGACCCCTGGTGGATCTTCACAACATGGAAGCTCATACATGCCATCAAGAAGACCTACGCCTTCAGTCTGTGGACTCTCGTCGGTATCAACAGGAGGTTTGGCGTCATGCTGGCGTGCATGCTACTCTCCATTGTCTTCCTGCTTACCGACGTTGCCGTCAGCGCTGCTAAAGTCACGGCCAGTAGCGGCATCAACCCATACTGGCGGTTCGCTCTCGTCTTCAAGTGCGCATCCGACACCATCTTCCTCGATGACTTCAAATCTATCCTAGACGATATCGTCGCCCGCAAATTCAGCTCTGGCGATGACTCAGGGCGCCGCCGTTCGATAACCGGCATCAGCCGTCCGAAGAGCTCTCGCTCAACCTCTCGTAATGATGAGTTCATCGAATGCAGCAACCTTGAGCGACACGACATGCCGTCACACGGTTTTCAGCCCAAGATGACGGCACGGTCGAAATATCGCTTAGCTTTCTCCAAGAACCACAACGTACCAGAAGTTCCGACCATACACATACAACATGCTGAGACCGAACAGCCACGGAGCCCAAGTCAAGATAGCTGCGATAGCCAAGGTCCTGTGTTGCCAAGGCCGGCGCACACGGTTTATCGCAACCCGGAGTTGCGGGCGAACGAAAGCGATGGTAGCTTGCTGATCGGCAGACTCGTATGATGAGTCTGAGGCCTGCAAGATAGAAAAACACACATTGGGCGTTCTTATGAGCCTCCTCATACCCTTCGAAAGCGAACGAGGTGTCGCGTTCCCCACCGACCCAATCAAGCATGCTCTTGGGTATTCAAAAGTTTCTGAAAGCATTGGATCTTCGAGCACTTGCATTCATGATGCACTTCTTGTTTTTGGAGCGAGTGATGGCACAAAGTAAGTCTTAGTTAATCTTTTCGCAACATGCCCTTGTGTCTTACCTACAGCTATTATTACTTATACAATTATATGTTCTATAATATATTTTATTTACTCTAGTATAAGGTTTTATACTTATTCTTACTATCTAAGAAGATAGCTTAAATACTAACTTATATCTTAACTTATATATTATAAGAAGTAAAAAGTACGTTAGTATGCCTTTACTATTTTATATTACTACTAATATTACTTTAAGTAAAAAAAACAGTCTTTACTTAAGAGAGCTAGTAACTTAGCTAACTTAGATAAATAAGTAGTATATTTACTATAGCTATCTTAGCGTAGAAAAAGTATTTACTTACTTAGTATAAACTTATATATATAGCTATTAGCGTATACTTATTATAAATTATATTATATTATATACTAAGTAGACGCTTAAGATAGAACTTATATAACTTAACGCTTTATTAAGTGTATAAGTTTACGTTTACGTTTATAAGTATTTATAAATAATACTTAGCTTATATAGCTACTTAGTAGTAAGTTACTTTTACTATATTAGTAAGTAAAAGCTAGTAGTATTTAATATTAATAAGAATATATAGTTAAATTAGAATTTTAAAAGTAATAAAGGTAAAAAAAAGTGCTATAGTATGTATATATTATATAAGTAATAATAACGCTAAAGTACCTTATATACTCTGCCTCTAACTTATATAGTTACTATATACGTAAAGTTATACTTTAGAACTATTACTTTTATTTTATAGTATACTTAATAACTTATTATAATAAGTAACTTATAACTTCTAAAATCTATATATACTTATATAATTAGGTTCTCTTAAAAAGAGAAGTATTGTTAACACAAGAGCTTTTGCAACATAAACACCGCTAACACTTCTTACTAGAAGCACAGCATACAGCACACCTGCAGGTTACAGCATTGACCCTGTGGCGCGCTGGGCGCGATAATGAATGATGCCCGTGAGAACGGCGGCAAAAACGATATGAAGACGAGAGATGGAAGAGACATGGCGTTCTGAAGCGATGATTTGCATGATACCCTGGCATGACTATATTTATACACCACGACGGTAATTCCATGATACTTATTCTTCAATCATGTCTATACAACCTTTTCTTTTCCTCTTGTAAACGTATTTGGAGGCCTTCCGCTTACACCCATGATCGGTGCTAAGACATTCGGTACTGAATGATTGGTCTTACATGAGCCAAGCACTGGCTTGCTGCTATGGTAGGGCAGAGTCGGGGGACACAAACGCCTACTTCAGCTTTTTATATGCTCATCGGAGGGAATGGAAACCCTCCGCGGGTGGCTTGGCACATCGGAACGGATGCCAAAACGTCCTCGGAGGGTTTGCCAAAGACACCTGCACGCCAATTTGCTTGAAAGGGGGTTTATCTAGGCACGAACGCGTGTTGCCGCGGAGCCTAATGCTTGGAGCGTTATATCAGCCCGGGTAATGCTGCGTGGACGAAAAGAAAGAGGTGTCACGCGCGGAGCATGACCACATAAAGATACTCGTGGTGCTTTTGCCACCTCTCTAACACATTCGCTTCAATATCCCAGAACAGACTCTGTCTTTACCAGTCCGCTGCAATACAACGATCAAGTAACTCTACCGACCATGTCGTCGTCAACAGCCTCATCCAGCACTCCCACAACACCAGCATGCATCACCGCCATCCCCGACTCAAACGGTCACGTCCCACCCTACGCCTGCAACGCGCTCTACCAATACAACCCCTCCCTCGCCGCCGCTATAGTCTTCGCCCTCTTCTTCGGTCTCCTCACAGTCGCACACATTGGCCTCGCAGTCCTCCATCGCAAACGGTTCTGCTGGGTGCTCATCACAGGCGCGATCTGGGAGTTTGTCTCCTTCATACTCCGCGCGCTCGGTACGCGAAACCAGCAGAACGAGGCGTTGGTTATCTTGTCTACACTGCTCTTCCTGCTAGCGCCGCTGTGGATCAACGCTTTCGTGTATATGACTGCGGGCCGGCTCGTCTACTTCTTGCACCCGCGGAAGAAGCTATGGCGTATCGAAGCGGTCAAGATAGGACGTTGGTTTGTGGGGCTTGATATCTTCAGCTTCATCGTTCAGGCTGCGGGTGGAGTGATGATGAACCCGCAGGCTGGTGCTAAGACCAATGGGTACGGGAAGAATGTGTATATGGTCGGCGTGGGGGTGCAACAGATCTTCATCCTGATGTTTCTGGCGCTGATTGTTAGGTTTCATTTGGATATGCTGAGGGTGGAGCGCCAAGGTCGAGAGGATACGGAAAGTGACCGACGGGCAGGTACGGTGCGTTGGAAGTGGTTGACGTATACACTGTATGCTGTCCTTGTGCTCATCACCACGCGTATCATCTTCCGGCTCATCGAGTTCTCGGCTGGAGTCAAGGGTGCGACAAACGTTCTCGTGGGCACGGAAGGGTATGTGTTGGGACTTGATGCTGTACCAATGGTGCTGGCGCTCGTATTGTTGGCAGCCGTACATCCTGGTATTGTTTTGAAAGGACCTGGGAGTGAGTTTCCGTCGCGCAAAGAGAGGAAGGCGGCGAAGAAAGCAAGAAAAGCTGAGAAAGAGTCGCGTAAGACTGATAACTACCTGGTAGCAGAAAATATCCGTATGGATGGCGCGACAAGTCACGCATGAAAGTACCTTGGGTGTATATAGACCTTTCCAGTCGAATCTGAAATGGTACCATATCTCAAAGCCATCACATCATGTCCATTTGCTGGTTCATGACAGCGTACTGTCGCGAAAAGCTCATAATAACGTAACGCGGTTCTTAGAGCGGTCCTTAGAAGATATCATTAGATAAGTATGAAGCCGCCCTAATAACCTGTTGTAACGGCTTTAGCTAAGCGCGCAAGAACAACGCCTTCTCTTTGCGAGAGGCCTCGTTCCGCGACCATTCCAAGGTTGAAAGAGATCGCCATGTAGAAAAGGTCGGCCTCATCGGACTGGTGTACGGCCTTATATCGCAGTTATTGCAGTTTCAGTCCGACGGAGATGTCGTCGAAGTGTCTCAGGACGTCCTACACGGATTAGACGGCTCGGATGAGAGCTGGCTAGCAGCCCTCGATTTGTTCTCAGCACTCTTAGCAGCAACTGCGCATCTCAGCATATGTGTCATTGACAGCCTCAATAACCTCGCATTTAGCGCTAGTGTGCAGTAGTGCGATGCGTTCCTACGAGTACTGTTCGAGCACCAGAAGGCATCAGCGGGCGTCTTCAGGATTCTTCTCACCACTACCGGACAATCACGGGTGCTGCAGGATTATGTGAAGATATCGGATCGAGTGTTCACTCAGACGGAAGCGCGGGAAGTAATTCGGGGTGGGCTTCGGTACACGAGTCCAGAAAATTGAGGTGGTTGGATGCGTGGTGTTCGCGACGGAAGGTTCATTGGCGTGTTCTTGTGCCTCGGCGATAAAGGCTTGGCACCGGTGGAACATGAGGTCATTTCCATTGTTCAAATTCCCGTCATGTACCACATTTTGTGACCATCGTGGATGGTCGTTTCCAGATTTCCAATGTTCGACGTGGATGTATGAGCTAGCTACATCTACCTGTCGATGGGCTCGCAATATGTCATCCAGATGTCTATATCCATTATCTCCTCGTAGACTCACTACTTCTGTCGCTGTATCTTGTTTGAAGCCCTGTCACATCCTTCCGTTATCGACCTCGCGCAACATGGCCTCTGCTTCAGCAGATCAAAAGGCATCACGTCTTTACGATGGTAAACCTGCCTTCATCTACGGTACTGCTTGGAAGAAAGATCAAACGAAGAGGCTAGTCAAGGAAGCTCTCGCTCAAGGCTTCCGTCGCGTCGACACAGCTGCGCAACCACGACATTACCAGGAACCTTTGGTTGGTGAAGCGCTTCGTGAGGCGTTCGCTGAGGGCACACTTGAACGCAAACAGCTATACGTAGGTTCAACGGAGACCTGGTCTAGTTAATGCTTATGCGTCACAGTTACAAACAAAGTATACCACGCCTGCCGGCCAAGATCTGACCAACATGCCCTACGACCCTGAAGCGCCGCTATACACCCAAATGCACACATCCGTCGCATCATCATTGAGAAACCTACGATACAACGAGTCTGATGACGAGTCATACGTTGACTGTTTGCTTCTGCACTCTCCACTACCTACCATTGACCAGACACTGCAAGCCTGGAAACTATTAGAGTCTTATGTGCCCGACAAGATCCGCTCCCTCGGCATCTCAAACGTCAGCCTCCCCATTCTCCAAGCCATCCACGAGAACGCCACAATAAAGCCGTCGGTCGTTCAGAATCGATTCTACCCTCAGACGCGCTACGATGTACCGTTACGCGCCTTCTGCCGAGAACACGACATCATGTACCAGTCCTTCTGGACTTTGACCGGCAATCCTTCTCTAATCAGATCCGAGCCGGTTACTGCGTTGGGTTAAGTAGCGGGTGTCGGACTGCCTGTTGCGCTTTACGCTCTGGTCATGGATCAAGGAGTTGTGGTGCTCAATGGAACTACTTCGAGTGATCATATGCGGGCGGATCTGGAGGGTGTTGAAAAGGTGCGTGACTGGGCGCTGTCACAACCTGACAAGTTCAAGCCTATTAGCGAGGCCTTCAGGTCACTGCTCGCATGATAGGAAGTGTTTTCATGAATCAGAGCGTACTACACGTGCAATGTCTGTCATCCAAGAGCAAAGTTACCTCGAGTCGTCAAACGTATGTCGCACGGTACTCGGTCTCAACAAGGCGGTCTAAGCCATCATGTTGACCGCTCTATATGGTGCTCAACAAAAGGCACCCACTCTCCTCCTCCGAATCGCCCTGGAGAGTTGTCGCAGAAGAGACACGTGACTCGAGACTTAGTTGCCTAGACGATGCAAACAGCTGCCAGCTCGGTACGCACTGACCCCCACTGACGACTTTGGTCAAACAAACGGTCGTTGAGCTTTTGTCAACCTTTGCCGCAAACCAGAACCTCTGACTACTGACAGTTGCCGTGACGAAGGAGATTGAGCCTACTAAACAAGCAGAACAAATCTACTCGACAAGCAGAAAAAGTATGCTCAGCATATCGACTCCACGGTGCAACGCCGATGATGATCCCAGTCATGCATACATTTTCTCCGTTTTGGAGAAACTGTAGCGGCTGGTATCATCATGAATTTGAACCTAACGATTTGAACTAGTACCAAAGCTCCAGAAGCAAGAATGCGAGCCGCCGAGTCGCGCAACGATGTGGAACGTCGAATGTACCCAAAAGGAGTCCACTACCAGTCGTAAGACACAAGTCATTACATCCATAAGGAAGAGAACTAACATACAACAGGTTCTTGAGACTCGTATGTGACGACGCCAGCCCAGGCTGGTGCTCGGAGCTCACCTCGAAGATGGTGCACCAGTTACCTCGGGAACTCCGCGATATCATCTACACGTACATCCTCGAGAGCCGTGATAGCAATCGTCAGCATCAGGTGCTCATGGTCGATAATCCCACGGCCTGGAATCTTGCAGAGTTTACCAGCAACCCCACGCAACTCGGTATCAGGAGATTTACCATCAAAGGCGTTGAGATTCCACATTTCGCAGTGTACGAACACGTCCACGAGACCTACCGAATCGAGTTAGCCGAAACCCTATACCGCACCAAACTGCTCCGGGTGGCAAGCATGCACGAGCTCAAGTTCACACTGAACTACGATGTTTTCGCGACTAGCTGCGATCCGAAGGAGCATATCCGCCACATCCAAATCGAGCTTAAATTCGACTGTGGCACCAAGACTCAAGCTCAATACGCCAAGCAGCTTGAACCCTTGTGGTACCTTCGTCATCTCAAACACCTCAAGGGAATGAAGGTGGGATTCATCGTCCACTTCATATACGATGACGTTCTCCCGCTTCTGGAGGAAGCTACAGCACCATTGGTTCAGCATTTGGCATCAAAAGGTGCGAAAGTGGGTTGGTACAGGAAGGGAAGGGGTAACGATGCGCCAAGCAAAGTTGAACATGGCGCCGCATAATGCAGCAGGGAACCTATGATTCACCTTTCCGCGTCAAAGTAGGAAGGAATTGAACACCGTAGAGCCTACATCAGCTTCAGCTCACCTACTTTGCATGTTTTCAATCTTGATGTAGTCTACAAACCTGTGTAGGGCTTTGCCTACATCAGGTATTTCTTAGCATGAATGCGGCACTTGATCGATAGCTAGAAGGCAGCCGGTTGTGTATTCAGACCCCTCCGCCCCACCCCAACACAACATACACTATCAGACCCAATACTGCATCCCATCCCAGAGCTTTCACTGCGTATCCGCCATTTACTAATGCTCCCACGACGCTGCCAGGAGTGAGGTCCTTCCTCATCATCGCCGCATTTGCAACCGCAAATCCACCAGACACGGTGATACATTTAACAACATCTGCATCCCTCAAGCTCATAGCCGAAAAGTGGGGAAGCAACAACACGGCGCGAGTTACAAGAAGTAGACCGCTGAAGACTGAGTTGGATCGCAGAGCTGGAAGTGCGAGTAGAGCGGCGTTGAGAAGAATGTTCGGGATTTGCAGCGTTGCTATCGGCTTGCGACGTTTGGTCGTAACAGCGGCTTTGGGTTCTTGTTTTGCGACTGCAATATCCGGAGATGAAAGATGGAGTTGGATCAGGAATAGCGAAACTGTAAAGGAAATGGGTAGGATCTGGCCGAGCAGGATGTACGTGCGCACCACCGACGTGTCGTATCTGCGCGTTCTCGCTATATGTACGTTAGTACCTTCTCGCGCGTGTGTATCGAGCATTACCTACCCTTTTGCGCCATATAAATATTCCAAAACCACGTCGCCAGAATCGCAGCCTGCGTCCACACCGCGTTCGGCGCGTCTTTGACCAGATCCTGCGCGAAATCTTGGAACAAAGTCGACTCCAGCATCCATCTCTTCGCCTTCCCCACGCTGACATTACTGAAGTTCCTGCTCTCATCACCGCTCCATTCCAGGTAGTGCGCGATCAGGAACATGAGCATGTGGTAGGATAATGTCGCGAAGCTGATCGAAGCGAGGAACGCGTAGATCTTGATGTGGCGCGCTCGCGCTGCTTTTGCTGCATTGAGCTTCTCATCTTTTGACGGGCTAGAAGTGTTGAATATGGCTGTGTATTGAGCGTAGAGCGAGTAGCTGATCTTGATGGTCGCGTAAAGTGCCGCGACGATGTAGGAGAGGAAGATGGTGGTGCCGATGTAGCTGTTGGGTGGTGTGGCGTAATACACCAGCGCGTCGTACCCAGGGATTTCCATCTTGCGCGTTTATGCTGGCGAGGTATTATTGCTAGAAAAACAGTACCAGAGAAATTAATGGGCGACGTATATATCATTGCGGCCAGACGCGAGGTTTCAAAAGTGTGCGATGATGCCTGACGTCATGACACAGTTGGTGTCTGAGAAATCGGGCGACGCGACACTTCGGCGTCTCTCTCCTCCGTCAACCCACACGCGCGACATCACGAAATGCGGTCGCGTTCATCTTTGCGCGCTGTGTAGGAGTCATCGTTCCAGCCATCTCTCGCGTTGCTTGATGGTTGCGCCGGGCCGCCCCCAGAATCTAGGATGCCTGACTACCTAGTCCAGGTAGCCGTGGAGGCTGCAACGCAGCACAAAGTAACAACTCAACGATGTTATGCGGCATGTAGCCGTCAGAGTGTGGGATGCGACTCATTCTGCGAGCTTTGAAAATCTCGAATGGTCGAATAAAACAAGTACTGACTGTAACGTACTTACCAAAAAAAGAGAAGGGCTCGTCAATGGGAACAGCTTCAAACGAGTTATGGGGCTCTCAACACCGTGATCCGGACCCTTTTGATGGTACGACCCCCGCAGTTTGTGACTCATGAGCTCGAAGTTTGGCACGACCATTGGGGGCCTATCATACCTCTGTGGTAGGAACTTCCCCACCCAAGGTTGTAACAGGCAGCAGCCGGCCGGTCAAGTATATCAGGAACGTACGCGCTGTTTCTTGACAGACACCAACAACTTTTCCTCTCATCCCATCAATCCTCGAACAAGAACAGCAACGATGCGCCACGTGTGCGGTTGTTACATCTCCCATCCCGGAACGCGGGAGCGAACGTACCTCCCCCAAATTAAGGTTGACGCCCACACGACGATCATCTCCACGGCCGCCCGCACTACCTTGACGCAGACATTCGTGAACCGGTCCCAGGAGTCATTGGATGAGATTCGATATGCCTTTCCGTTGTTCGACGGCGTCAGCGTTGTCGAGTTCTTCTGCCAAATCGGCGAGCGTACCATCTACGGCCTAGTCAAGGAGAAGAACGAAGCCAAGAAGACCTACGAAAAGGCCAAGGAGAAAGGCGAAGCCGCAGCGCTCCTCGAACGACTAGATGAGGCGGCGGATGTCTTCTCAACTGCTATCAGCAACGTTCCCGGAGGCGCATCTGTGCATGTGTCCATCAAATACATCCAAGAGCTGAAGCACGATGCCGAAGTCGATGGAATTCGTCTTACCATCCCTGCGTCTATCTCGCCCCGTTACGGATCCTATCCCGGAAAGCTGCAAGAGACATCGGCCGAGATTGATTCGAAGGGTATCTCCATTACCGTGGATGTCAAGATGGCAGAAGGTATTCCTATCAAGAAGGTCATCTCGCCATCACATCCCATCGAAGTAACGCTTGGATCGCTTTCAACAAGTACCATAGATGAGGAAGCCTTGCTCTCGCAAGGTTCAGCCACGCTTTCCCTAGGTACTACAGGTCTAGACAAGGACTTCGTATTACAGGTGGTTGCAAAAGACGTCGGCGTACCTCAGGCGATCCTGGAGACCCACACAACGCTCGCCAATCAGCGAGCATTGATGACCACACTGGTACCGAAGTTCAACCTCAAGTCGCAAAAGCCTGAGATCATCTTCATTGCGGATCGATCGGGTAGCATGGGCGATCAGATCCCCACGCTGGTGTCGGCACTCAAGGTCTTCTTGAAATCGATCCCTATCGGCTGCACGTTCAACATCTGTTCATTCGGTAGCAGTCACTCGTTTCTTTGGAAACAGAGTCAGTTGTATGGCCAAGATACACTGGAGGAGGCTATTCGACATGTAGAAGCGTTCGGGGCCAATTTTGGCGGGACCGAGACCCTCACAGCGGTCAAGGCCTGTTTCGAAGCTCGCAACACCGAACTTCCTACCGAGCTCATGCTACTTACCGATGGCGACATTTGGGCTCAAGACCAGCTGTTCGATTACATCTCCAAAAACACGAAGAATGGCAACGTCCGTGTCTTCCCCATCGGTATAGGCGGAGGTGTGTCTAGTGCGCTCATTGAAGGCGTCGCGAGGGCCGGAAGAGGCTTCGCTCAGATGGTTGCAAATAACGAAAAGCTTGATAGCAAGATTGTTCGCATGCTGAAGGGTGCACTCACCCCTCATATCCAGGACTACCGTCTCGAAGTCAAATACGAAGATGACAGCGTCGAGTCTGTTGCCGACAACCTTCGTATTAACCTTCACCTGGACAACGATAACGACGACAAGCAAACCAAAGCCCCAGACGCCGACGCGAAGCCCATCTCGATCTATAATCCGGACGCAGCGGAAGAGCATCCCAAGGACGGCGAGTCAAAGGACATCTTCGCGGGCCTACCGGAACTTAAGCGCCCGACGCTTTTGCAGACACCTCACGAGATACCAGCGCTCTTCCCGTTCAATCGCACCTGTGTCTATCTCCTCATGTCTCCAGAGTCATCACATTTGCAACCAAAGAGTGTTGTCCTCAAGGGCACCTCACCCCAAGGCCCGTTGGAGCTCGAAATTCCGGTCGAAGTCCGCAAAGAGACTGACGAGATGATTCATCAACTTGCTGCACGTAAAGCAACACAGGAGCTCGAAGATGGTCATGGATGGCTATCCGAGGCTACCGTTGGCGATACTGACGTCCTGCTCAAGAACAAATATAGCTCCCAGTATCTGTTGCTTCAGAGACGAGAGGCTGTTCGTCTTGGAGTCGAGTTCCAGGTCGGCGGCAAGTACTGTTCATTTGTAGCTGTAGAGACTAACGAGGCCGAAATCGTCGACAAACGCCAAAAAGCTCTGGAATCGACAATCAAACGGAGTGATCTAGCGGATGACGATGACTGGGAAGTTCTGGAACATGGCCAAGCATGCAGATCATCGGTGACCACTTCGTATGGCGGCGACACACGATTTGGCAGTGGACCTGCATCTGCGTCGGTGAGTTCTGGATCATTCGCTATGTTCCGTGGAGGCTACGGCGGCGGTCCCTTTGGCCGTACTGGCGGCGGGAAAGGCGGGCGAGGCGGACAGGGCGGGCACTTCCGAGCTAGAAAGATGGCTGCTGGCCCTGCACTATTTGGTATGAATAGCGCAGTAGATGACGCCGGCTCAGACGAAGACATGGGCTTTGGATGTTTCGAGAAAGCCAGTGCAGCATCCATGGCTCATCCTGGCCAACCGTCAGCGCTGCGCACGTTATCTCCCGAGCAAGTATTACAATCAACGGGTCGGTCGGGTTCGAAACGGTCGAGTCGGTCGGCCATGGGTCCCTCCTTCTCTCCGCCACAAAGGCAGAAAGTGCAGGAAGAGACCGGCACCCTCCTCCAGCGCCTCATAGCACGGCAGTCCTTTGAAGGGTCATGGGAAGCTATCGATAAGCTTCCGTTCGATGAGATGAAGCTCGACCGCGACGCCGCTAGCCTGGCTAATGCTCAACTCAACGAGCCAAACTCCGAGCAGCTTCTGGCTACTGCAATCGTAGTCTTGTTTCTGGAGAAGAAGATGCAGGGTGAGGAGGACACTTGGGAGTTGGTTGTTGAAAAGGCGCGCGCTTGGCTTGGAAGCAAGGTGACGGAGGAGGTGCTCGCCCGGGTATGGCAGCTGGCTGAGGGTGTTGTTGGAAAGAATTGAGTAGACACCAAGGAGCCTACTTCGACGTCAGATCACCTAATCTGCATGCTTCTAGCTTGGTATGGGCTGCAAAACTGTTTCGCGTTCCCCTTGTATGGGTTGTGTGCGTGTCTGAAGTCACAAAAGAATGGCTGAATGCCTATAGGTACCGCCTACGTAGAATTGATATCCTCATACAGTATATGACATACTCGATAAAGAAATACGCATAGTTTTGAGCATTCATTTACATTTTCGAATATAATGATGCACATGGACTAAACCCCGAAACAAGCTTCGGTAGCAGTCGGCACTAGAGCCAAGCAGTGCTTTTGAGATTCCGGTAGTTAACTCTTTCAAATACAGCATCGCGGGGATTCAATTGTTCAGCGTATCTGTTGCTTTCTCAAGTCAGAAATAGGTGTAATGAGACATTGTATTGTAAGAATTCATCACTGCTTCGACTCATCCTTCGAAGCTTCCGCCGTCTACGCCAGAGTTCGCGAAGTTTCTTCCGTTTCCGGCCCTTCAACGCCGCTAGCTACCGGTCTTTCTGCAAGAGTGATAGCCTGATATTTCGAGACCGGAATGCGCCGCGCGCTCACGCCTGTGTTCCTGTACTTGTACGGCTCGAAGGAGGGCGCTAGCTGTAGATGTGCTTGCCGTGGGAGCTGACTGAACCCCAGATGCTTCCGCATTTGCAGTACCGGTAAATTGGACTTCATTATGCCGAGACGGTTTCGGAAACGATTGGTCTTGGTATATATTGTACTATGGACGCTGGTGATCGGCCATTCTCTGAGTTATGGCGTCGTTCGGCGAGCTTCCATCTACTTGTGCGGTTGGAGCAGTGCCGGGTGTCGATCGGAGTGTATAGTGGAAACCCGATATGAGGACTTCAAAAGAAACTTATGGAGCTCTATGAAGACGAAGGTCGTTGGGATGTTGCTCGTGAGGAAGGCTTGGGAAGCGGAACAGACGCAGGGTTAGGTTCATCTGCGAGTACAGAATCTTTCCATACCGTGCATCGCGCAAGAGATGAAACGACCAGCAATCTCGCTTCCGTCTCCGTTACCATCGATTTCATACTCTTGAACATATTCATGATGCAGTCTGGTTCCATCTGCTGGCGGAACCCCTCTTGCTCCACGTACCAATCTTTCTTTATAGGATCGTACCTCAGGCTGGTCTCCTGACATGCCGCGTCCATGAAGCCGGCCAAAAATTCAAAAATGTGGTTGGTCGTTGTAGGAATTTTATGACGGACAACAAGGTAACCGTATGAGGTGCTGCTGTCGATAATGGAAGATCCCGTGACAGGTTGCACATTCTCGATACTTGTACCGGCGAGCCAATTTGTGGTTCGCACATGTGAGTAAGCCTGTATATCTGTTTGATCGAAATAGCTTAGGTCACCTTTAGTCGAACAATAGCCTATATGATGCAAGTATCCGTCTTCCATGGTAGATTCGGGGAACTGAGCTACAAGAAAATCTCTCTTCCTTCTCCAATCTTCTTGAGAATAGACCTTGGTGACATAGCGGTGAGGCGAAGGTGGGCGACTTCCATACCTCAAGATCGATAGCAGGGCATGTAAATTGTTCCTGTTTAGCACCTCCTGCCTGCTCCCCCGGACGGGGTTAAAGTTGAAGGACATTATGAGCTTTACACGGGAGTTTTGTAGACTAGAGTCATTGAGATGCAGACTAGTGTCAATGAGACCACTGCTCTCAATTATGTGCGACCACTTGACTGGCCTGTTTCGACCTTGAGCACGCGGGTGAAGCCACATGAAGAAATCATTCATACTGGAGAGAAGTGCCTGGGCTTGCGGAAGAAGATCATTATCGTGTGTCGCCGAAGAGGACTGCAACTTTCGCCGCAGCTGAATTCTTGGGTCATCGATGGATAACAGTCCTGTAACGGGTACAGAGCGTGTTTCTGGCAGTTCTTCGCAAAATCGAAGTTTTGGGGCAGTGTTCGTTGGCCATGGCTCTTCTTGTTCTACAACAGAGCGTGTTTCTGGCAGTTCTTCGCAAAATCGAACTCTTTGGGCATACTTCGTTGGCCAGGGCTTGTCTGTTCGGGGCCATCCACTTCGACAAGCCGTACCAAGGGAGAGTGCTAACCAATTTGGGTCAGAAATCGGTAGCGGAATAGTGATGGGCTGATTCGAGATGCCTCTGCGAATCCAAGCTCGGATGCAAGTCATCAAAAGGGTGATCCCAAGCTGTATGACTGTCGCGGACCAATGTAGCGCCCTTAACCCGACAAATTGGCAAATGAATCCAACGAAGCAAAGGCTTACAGCAATAATGACAATCGATTTCTGAGTTTTGGCTCTTGACTTTCCTGCCTGCTGTGCAGGGTCGTACCTCGAAGTCAGAATCTTTTTGTCTTCGGCATGGTTCAAGATGAGATATGTGTTAAAGGGCTGATCGCCCATATTCTGTTGCAGTTGTAACCGGAAGATGGTCCCCACTTCATAACCGTCAGTTGGTGTGAACACCTGCTCAACAGTCGTTGCCTCGATGATATACGAGCATAGTGCTATGCTCACAAAGAGTAAGCATGTTCCTAGCAAGAATGTTGGATATGCGTAGTCTTGAACAGGCTTCGTGTCCTCCGGTTCTTTCCAGTGATAGGTCATGATTGCGGGTATTGCCACAGCAACGAACTGCAAAGCCATCCCAATCATTACAAAAGCCCATAGCTCTCCGCTCTTTGGAAACGTGTTGTGTACGTTGAGTATGAGGTTCGGTGGCTGGTTGGCAAGCCTTCTGACAAGATCCTGTGCAACACCAGTCAAAAAAGCGGTGTTAATGATCAATCGGTCAGTTTCTTTTCTTTGTTTTGCAATGACCGCATCCGCTAGATCGTGATGATCTGCACTCCATGCATTCTGACCTGAATCCGATCCAGCGCGTTCCGTGAGCATATCAATTTCAGCTCGTTGTGCAAGCTCGTCCAGATTCTCCTCGCATATCGCAATTTTCGCATTCATCATAACGATGCCCTCGTGCAATTCAACGAGATCCTTTGGAGTCTTTGTTTGGCTTGGAATCGAAAAGGCTGACCAGAACATCCGCTCGAACTTCCCTACCAAAGCTTTGAATCTCCTCCAACGGCCTTCCTGGGCAGGGCTGAGAACTCCTACGTTGTAGGCTTCACTAAGATCGCCGATATGAGTCTCACTCAGGGCCTCAAGCTCGGGTTCAATCTGACTTGAGGCCATCTTGGTGGACGTCTTTTTATAGGTCACCATCTCAAGGATCGTAGCGTGGCCTGGTTGACGAACGATTCCTTCCTCGGTCCAGAGTTCCGAAGTGGCATCTGATGTCGAAGAGAGTAGCTCTAGCTCTGCTGTCGCTAGCTTTTCTCGTGCACTTTTGACCTAAGTCAGTAAGAGCACTAGCCTAAGATGAAACCCACTCACCGCCCGATTATAGCTTTTAGAACTCTGACGTTTGAGACTCGGATTGCCGAAACGACCGTTGTAATGATTCCCAATGGGCCAACAGCGAGCAGAAAATGATCCGCCCAACCGAGTGACATGCTGAGAAACTGTTTCGTGACTTGTTCTCCGAATAGCGTCAGAAGAGGTGCCAGATCACTGCCGAGATTGTTGATGAACTCTTCGCCGGCGAACCCGGACGAGAGAGTGGGAGTGCTGTCGATTGGCATTGCCGTTGGCGTGCCGCTGGCGGTCGAGGTAGTCGCGGTCGGTGCCATGACGTAGGCAACACCGAAGGAGGAAGTGACGAAGGACAGCCGAAGTATGAGAGAGCCACGTTGGTGCCTCTTTCCGCAGTCAGGAAAATGCGGTTGAGCTATTGCGCAGACCAACAATGCCGCAAGGCTGAGCGGCGACAAACCCGTCAGCAAGGCTGGCGAGGCGGCTTGACTGACTGCGGAAGATGCGAGCAGATGAGCCAAGCTGGAGCGTGCGAATTGTATAGCAGATATCGGATTTCTCTACATTCAGGAGGAGAAAGAAGACGAAAGAGAGCTGCGGGGCTAAGATTGAGAGTTCATTTACATCAGCTGTACCTGAAGCAGAGATGCATGAAACAGGTTGGCATCTCAACGAATGAGAGATCCAAGCCACGTCTGACAGCAGGCGCTTATCGCTGCACTCCGGTGAGGAAGGGGCGGACGGGGCGGACGTCCAAGTTGGACCAACTTAGTGATGCGTCATCTTTCAAAAGCCAATAGGGTATTCAGGTGCACTACAGGCCTGTCTTCTTTGGTATGCGCTCATCTCGTGACGACGCGAGTGTGATTACTTGGGGTTATGCTTCGGTTAGCAGGGGGCCTGTCAGCGGGGTCTCAATGATCGCAGCTTTGCATGCCATCGTCTCGAAGATGATTGATTCAATAGTCTATAGTCTTCTTGATCGCATCGTAGACCCCTGTCAATGTCAGCAAAAGAGAGCACCCACATGTCAATATGTCGCAACTTACTAGTAACATCGGGAATGACGAACTGCTCAAACATGAGCCCGGTGTGCGTCGCCCACCCTGTCACCCTCTTGACAGGCGCTTCCAACCTAAGGAAAGCCTTTTCCTGGATCGTCGCAGCAACCTCAGCACCAACACCGGCATTCATCATACTCTCGTGTACTACAATCGCTCTTCCAGTCTTCTTTACGCTTTCTAGGACCGTCTCTCGGTCCCAGGGGTATATTGTCCGCAGATCTATCAGCTCAACGCTGCAACCGAAGTCCTTCTCTGCTGCTGCTATCGCGGCTGAGCATGTGTATAGCGGTGTGCCGTACGAAACGATTGTGACGTCCTTGCCAGTCTTGAGGACTTCAGCCTTGTCGAGCGGAAGGTAGAACGCGTCGACGGGTACGTGCTCGACAGCAGCGCGGTAGAGTATTTTGGGCTCCATGAATATGACGGGGTCTTGACAGCGTATCGCGGAGAGGAGGAGGCCTTTGGCCTGGACAGGTGAGCGGGGTATTACGACGCGTAGACCGGGCGTGTGGGTGAAGAGGGCTTCTGGGGATTGTGTGTGGTAGCTAGTGACGTGTCAGTAGATCTCATGAGTAGACGCTGCTGAAGTCATACAGTGCGCCATGTCCGACACTGCCTGATGGCATGCGGATGACTAGTCCTCCACAGTTGACGCCAGTGCTCCCCGACCGGTATCTGTACTTGGCCGCCTCATTGTGTATTTGGTCGAAGGCAGGGAAGACGTAATCTGCAAATTGGACTTCTGCTACTGGCTTCATGCCCTCTGCAGCGGCTCCGATCGCAAATCCCACCAGGCCCTGCTCACTCAAGGGAGTGTTGAAGACGCGTTCTGTGCCGAAATCTCCGGCGAGGTTCATGGTACACCGGAAGACACCGCCAAATTGTACGTCTTCTCCAAACACCATGACGCGTTCGTCTGTTTGCAATGCATATCGCAGGGCTTCGTTGACGGCGGTGTAGAGGTTTATGCGCTTCGTCTGACCCTTCTGTATATCTGCAGGGAACTCGGGGTTCGCAAGGGAGGATTTGGCGGTGTGGTGGAGAATGGGCGTGGCATCGTACTCTACTGTGCCATTGAGGCGTGCGCCAGGTGCCGCCGAGGAGTATTGTTTGCGTTGAAGGTGGTGTTGACAGCGGGGCCGGAGTGGTGCTTGCGGGCGAAGCAGATAGCGCGACAATGCGCGGATTGATGGTGTTCTAGCAGCCATGTCTATAGAAATGAGAGCAACGAGTTTCCCCAGAACCCCAGAAAAGGTACATGCAACAAAGTCATGCTGGGCACAAACATGTGAGCCGACGGTTGTGCGGGTGTATGCCGCGGCTACCAGCGGCTCTCCAGGTTTCAAACGATGCGGAGTTTAGCGGGCAAGCGCCGAGAGAGGAAGGTGCAGACACGTGATGTGACTGAAAGTAACGTGACTCGAGGCTTGCCAAGATCAGAGGCGCTGCATAATGACGACTGACGCCAGAATGGTTCGCACGGCAGGTGGAGACTAGCGCGTCCAAACTTCGATGGTTTGCGACAAATCTCTTAAATCACTGTGCGATTGTGATACAGAGGGCTTGCGATTGTCTTTGATTTGGGTATACTGCAGAGTATGGCAAAGACGGCTGTGATCGTAGGAAGACGGCACCATGTTGGACTTGGCGCCTAGTCTTGAGCCTGGGGAAAGCAATACAGGCTAGCGGGAAGAAGCCTCGCCCCGGGGTCAACTTTGTGTCCGGCCCCTTGTACCGAAGACGCGTACACATGCTGTGATCAGAGAGAGATGCTAATGTGTGATAGAAGGACAGCCTGCTGTTAATTACGTCGGGTGTATAGAAAGGGTTGAGGTCTGACACAATAAGACTGCACGCGCCTTTGTCGCCTTTGGGGAGGCTGCACCATACGTCTAGATCCCGGCCGTGCGCAGACCCACCAAACCGCTGCTTCCGCATCATTATTTGCGCGCCCACCACAAACCTTGGAGTCCACCTCTCTCGCCAGTCCATCTCCCCGACTCGGACACTCTTCATCTTGCCGCACTGAGGTGCTTCCCATGGCCATGAGCGCTCCTCGTCCTCGCGCAGCCGCCAATGGCTCGATGCGGACTGCTCGCCTCGCCTTCATCGGCCTCTTCCACGCCTTCGCGCCCATGGTGACCGCGCTGCCCATGCCTTTTGGCGACGCGACCTTCAAGACCGCTGGGGAGGAGGTCCCCACGGACAACGATGGAGAGCGCTGGCTTTTACTGGGTATCGCCGTCGCGCTTGTCTTGGCTGGTGGTGTGTTTGCTGGTCTGACCATTGCGTGAGTACATCGCGGTCCCGCCATCGTGTCACAACGCGCTAACAGCGACTCTTCAGCTTGATGGGCCAAGACGAAATCTATCTCCAAGTCCTCGCTTCATCCGGCGAGAAGCACGAGCGCAAGAACGCGGCCAAGGTGCTGAAGCTGCTCGAGCGAGGCAAGCACTGGGTTCTGGTAACGCTACTCCTGAGTAACGTCATTACCAACGAAACCCTTCCTATAGTCCTGGACAGGTCCCTCGGGGGAGGATGGCCCGCCGTCGTCAGCTCCACCGTCCTCATTGGTACGCGCCATCACTCCCAGCTACTCTGTTTACGTCTAACACGCCTCAGTCATCTTTGGTGAAGTCGTCCCTCAATCCATCTGTGTGCGCTATGGTCTGCCAATCGGTGCCATCATGGCACCCATCGTCCTCGGCCTCATGTACATCATGGGCATCGTCGCCTGGCCGACTGCCAAACTCCTCGATTACCTCCTCGGAGAAGACCACGGTACCGTTTACAAGAAGGGCGGCTTGAAGACACTTGTCAGTCTGCACCAGTCGCTCGGACTCGAGCACGAGCGCCTGAACGAAGATGAAGTCACTATCATCACCGCTGTGCTGGACCTCAAGGCCAAGGCTGTCGGCAACATCATGACGCCCATGAAGGACGTCTTTACCATGTCGTCCGACACTATCTTGGACGAGAAGATGATGGACAACATCCTTTCCGCTGGCTACTCCCGTATTCCCATCCACACCCCCGAGAATGAGAACAACTTCGTCGGTATGCTTCTGGTCAAGATGCTCATTACTTACGACCCCGAGGATGCTCTACGCGTACGCGACTTTGCTTTGGCCACGCTACCCGAGACACGCCCGGAAACGAGCTGTCTTGACATTCTCAACTTCTTCCAGGAGGGCAAGTCCCATATGGTGCTAGTCTCTGAATTCCCTGCTGAGGCACGCGGTGCCGTCGGTGTTGTTACTCTGGAGGACGTCATCGAAGAACTGATCGGAGAGTAAGTCGTGCATCCTCGAAAAATACTCTGGCGCCTACATTGTCGCCGGATCTTCCAACCAAGTTTGTACTAACGAGACCAGGGAAATTATCGACGAGTCCGACGTATTCATCGACGTGCACAAAGCAATTCGACGCATGGCCCCCGCCCCTCGCGCCCGCGTTCCTCGAGGCAAAGTCGTGACCGATATTCCCCGCAAACCTTCCGAAGCACAAGCTGTAGACTCCGAAACAGACGCGGAGCAGAATGGCAAGCCGGCGCCACGCAAGACCTCTCTACCTGAGATGCCTGAAGGCCACCCCAAGCCCTCTTTCCTCCTTCGTCGCCGTAGCAGCGGTAGCAAGGGAGCCGGTTCACCTCTTCGCAGCGACGATCCGACCGTTATGCAGCACCTGAAGCATCTCGGCCCTTCGAATGTCGCCACTAGGCCCAAGCAGACTCGCATCAACACTGTCAAGATCAAGCCTGGCCAGACAGCTTTGACCCCTGACATTCCCAAGACGATACCGGAAGACTCCCAGGCTCCAACCGAGGCAACTCCGACTGAGGGTGTAATAACACAGGAGTCCCATGCGCCTGAGGGTGGTATTGGTGAGGGCTTGCTAGCATCGGCAGGTCGCGAAGCCAGCGACGGCGTACACAGCGTAGCAGTGGGATATGGTACCATGGCTCCAAGTGGCGACCGAATGTCGTGGAGATCTGGTCGATCGGGTATGAGGGAACATGACGAAGAACCTACGTCTCCAAAGGGTGGTGCGAACGAAGACGACGAAAACACCCATCTCCTGGTCGACAACCGCAACGAGAACGGCGAGAACGGCGAGACGAACAGGTCACGGGCACGCTCGGTCAGCACCATTGCCTCCCTGCGCTCGATGCGCTCGCGCTCGCGCAGTCCCTTGAAAAAGCGACACACTGCTCGAAGCGGTAGCATCTCTGAGAACGTTGTCGATGTCAATGGCATCAAGAAGATCGTTTTGGAGACTACCAGTTCCAGCGACTCGGAAGAGAAAGCGAACGGCAGCCAAGTCGATGGCCAAGACGGCGAGAAGCATTCTGAAGCCGAGTCTTCGCATGCCGGAGGCAAAGGCGCAAGCAAAAAGAAGAGGAAGAAGCGAGGTAAGAAGAAGAAGGGTGGTGCTGGCGACAGCCACGAATCACAACCTCTGCTCGGAGACAGGTAACCTCATTACCCGTTTTGAGCATGTTGTTAATCCCGGTTTCTACAGAGGTCATGAGCGAAATCGGTGCGAATGCGAGTGCGAAGTTTCTCAGTCGTTTCGATTCTGGCAAAATTAATGGGCATGCATCGGCGTCTTCATCACCTTCTTCTCCTTCGATGTTCGACGGGAAAATGGATGAGAATAATGGGCATGGTTAGGACTGTTATCTTTTCAAGGAAGTGTATTATAAAAAGGTGTGTCGTTTCTTGGACGATTGGTGTCGTCTGTGAGCTTGAAATATATATCTTGTAAGCTCGTGTACCCTGTCCTTTCTTTGATTACGCGACATGACATATCAAAGTTGTCTTGGCATCCTCAACAATGATCGTAACGTTACGTCTCAACGCGAGATCTGCCTCTTACCACCAGTCTAGTCCGACCAGGGATCATAATTCCTATCCCCACAATCCCCCGCTACATCCGACCACGTCAACACGTCTTCATCATCCTCAAGGCACCCACACCACCCCGGTCTCGAAGCCGACAGGCGGAACCCCCTCGAACTAACCCCCTTCTTGACACTAGTCTTCTTGCTTTTGCCGCCGTAGTACTCCTTCCTCTTCCTCTGCCCCCACGTTCTTAACTTATTCGGCTGCTCAGTACACCACAACACCAACTCCCTAGCCGCGAACGCATCTTCCACGGAATCATGTCCCACTTTGTCGCCACCCTGGATCTTGATGTCGAGGAGTTGGCTGGCTAGGTCCTTGAGTCCCCACCGTCTCTTTACACCCTTTCCTACGGCTTCGGCTGCTAGGATTGCTGAATCGACGATGCGGTCGTGTCGGATACCAAGGGCTAACAAATCGTGCTGTAGGGCGTGTCCGACAAAGATAGTGTCACTATCGACGTACTTGAACAGCTCTGCGCGTGCTTCAGATGATCCTCTCAGGACTTTCCCCTGCGACACAGCAGTCGCCATAGCCTGTCTTGTGATCCCACTGTACCTCGTCCGCCAATCCGTGACAGACTCGGTCGGCTGAACGAGCGTATCGATGAGTATCTCATTAGTGAGATAGTCAATTACTGAGATGCGGGCTAACGAGGATGTGTTGTTCGGGTTTATGCCAACCATCTCGCAGTCGATGCATATGGCTGCGCGCTTTGGAGTTGTCTTGCAAGGGATAGGTAGTGTTGTTCCGAATTTATAGTCGTTGGCTGTGAGAACTGGTCGGGCGTGGCAGTGTAGGATGAGTGCGGTAAGTGCTGCGGGCTGTTTGCTGTCTGGGATGATGGTCCAATTTGGAGGTGGGAGTGTTTTGGGAGTCTGCGCTTTTGGCGTGATGGGCTTCGGTTGGGGAGCTTTTGGGTCGGCAGCTTTTGGTTTGGGGACTTGTGGTCTGGGGACTTGTGTTTCGGCAACTTGTGTTTTGGGTACTTGTGTCTTGGGTACTGATGGTTTGATTACTGGTGCTTTGGGAACTGGTGTTCCATGGATTGATGGTTTGGAAGCTTTTGATCGTGGTGTGGTTCTCTGTTGAGTGCGCTCCCTTATGAATGAGATGTGCTTGGACGGTTGCGGCGTGGAGGACAGATCTTGGGCATTCGACCATGAAGGTATCCTTATGTGGAGTGATGACTCGGCGTCTGATGTTAACGTGTTCCAAGCCATGGTCGTTTCTTTCATAACTCGGGGGGCTGTGACCTCCACGTCCTTCGTCGGAATCGTCCCGTGGTTATTAGGCGTCTTCGGGGTGGCTTTACTACTACTCGTGGCGATAGGGATCGCATGCTTGGACCGAATATGATCTGATAAGGCTATGGCACTAGCGAATGATTTTGCGCAAGAAATACATTTGAATGCTGATGAAGCAGGTTTGGGACTCTTCTTGGGTGCCATTGGAGTGACGTTTTCTTATCGACGATAAATACGTGGAATCAAAGACTGTAGTTTTGCTTTCAAGGAGGAACAAAAGTTGTTCTGAGTATGAACGATGGCGGCGGGACGGGCTGCTGGTGATACCTGCCCAGGCTTCCATGCTGTGTAACAACGGAGGGCAACCGCAGCATACTCCGCCCACTCAGTATCTGCCACGTTGGTCCAGCGTTCATGCGCCTGGTATTCATTGTAGTGATGAGACCTTTGCATGGTAGTAGATAAGCCGTTTTCTGCACAAATGTATGATCCTAGTGAGTTCGCAGGGAAGCACGGGAATTCTAGTGAAAGGCTGAGGTGGCGTTGCCTCACAGCGCTTTCGCGACACTAAGTTGAACGGCTTTGAAGCTTCGGTGCGGTCACTAATGAAGATTATGGGTGCCAGCATCGAAGCAAAGTCTGATCAGGGTGCATCCTTCGTGTGAGGGGGAAGGCGCGTTGTGACACTCGGTGGCGCCATTCCAGAAGAGGAAAGGTGTCAGAGCGGGATACGGGTTACGCCCGACCTTGGGAGCAACACATCAGTGCAGTCTTCACAGTCCGAACTCCGAACCACATCGTCAACGTCGTTCTAGAGCCACGGCAGCTCCAATGGCAATAATTACGCCCAGCTAATTTCGGACAGTAGGTGACGATCGACAAGAGAACGTTGCACGTCGCAGCTCGCGTCGTCATCTCCAAGCCCCGCGTAAGGCGAGCAATTGCGCAAGGCGCCCAGCGGCATGGCCATTCAAGCACCAGCCTTACCATCGCGAGGTACCGCCGGCAGTATTCCAACAATTGCTTGGTAATTAGGGAAGATTTTCGTCAATCAACAAGGATCGCGTGGGTGTCCTGAAGCTTGCGTTGATGCTTATCAAGCTCTATATAGTGTCGCAGCCCCCCCGCGAATGTCGTGCTACAACTACGGGCTCGTAGAACGCAAAAATGTTCTCCGCCGCCTCTTCGATGCTATCCTTGTTGTTAGCATGCTTTGTCTATATAACAACTTACAGAGTCTTCTTCCACCCGTTACGCAACGTTCCCGGTCCCTTCTTTGCACGACTCAGTAAGCTATGGCTCGCATGGCACGTCCGAAAAGGACAATCGCACGTCCACTTCCCCAAGCTACACGCGCGATACGGACCTATTGTGCGCATAGCACCCGACCAAGTCCTAGTATGTGACGAAGACGCCATCAAAACCGTTTATGGAGCAGCGACGTCGTTCACGAAAGGGGATTGGTACCGCATAGCTGGCGCACCTGACAAAAGCCGGAAACCTGCTGAGGAGGTTCTCGATATGTTGACGGAAACCAACATGGAGAAGTATCGCAGACAAAGAAGAGCCATTGGACCAGCTTACAGCATTGCGGGACTAGAAAGACATGAGGAGCTGCTTGATAGCTATGTCAATCAGTTTGTTGGCAGGCTGAAAGAGTTTGGAGGAAAAGAGTTGAATCTCGCGGAGTGGACTCATATCTTCGCCTTGGAGTCCATGAGCCAGTTTACTTTAGGCAAGAGACCAGGATACACAGAGAAGGGCAGTGACGAAGGGAACGCAGATGCCAGTGATGCGTTATGGCAGTGCTTCACCGTTATTGGTATCTTCCCAGGCTTCGTAAAGCTGATGCATGCGATACCGAAAGTCGGCATGTTGCTCGTCCTACCAGCTAGCTTACTCCTGGGTGTTAGACTACCGAAGGTTTGGCCCGTCTTCAGCTTTTCGGCTCCGAACATTATGCAAAGATTGAAAGCATTGGAAAGCACAAGGGATGTCAAGTTTCCAGGGGACCGTCCGGGCCTCTTTCATGATCAAGGCACAGATGTCGAGACATCGGAGCAACAAGGGGACGGCATTCAAGAGACGGATATGCTGGCTACTTTGATGCGCCTCCATCACGACAAAGAGGCACATTTTCCCCCTTCATGGGTTCTCTCGATAGCTCTTACCAACTTCGGCGCTGGACACGACACACTCATGTTTACCCTTTCTTCGGTCTTATACCATACGTACAAGTCGCCAGCCATCCTCGCCCGCTTATGCAAAGACATGGAAAGCCAGGGTATCACAGAGCATACCAAGTACTCCGAAATGATTCAGAAGGTACCGCTGTTCCTGGCCGTCATGAAAGAGAGCATGAGGATCTGGCCAACGCTGGGATGGTACATTCCTCGCCTCGTACCTGCTTCAGGAACTACACTATGCGATACCTATCTTCCACCTGGTACTACAGTCGGGACTAACCTCTGGGCTTCGCACTTTGACCCCAAGGTCTTCGCAAATCCCCATGATTTTGACCCAGATAGATGGCTACCCGGTGGCAGCGAGGAAAAGATGAGGGAGATTGGTAGAATGGACAGTCTTTGGATGGGATTCGGGGGCGGAGGGAGGAGCTGCCCTGGACAGCATCTTGCGCGGTTCTTCGTTGTCAAGACGTTGGCTCGATTGGTTACGGAATGTGACGTTGAGCTGAACGGCGAGCCGGAGATCGGCGGTTGGTTCCAGTGTACGATGAAGGGTATCGGGATGAGTGTCAAGGCTAGGAAGCTGTAATGATAGGCTTGCTGATCAATCGCGTAGCAGATACGGGCGATTATCAATCTGTTGCCGAGACTCGGGCGGTCGTTGGCTTCCCTCTCTCACTTTGCGGTGTTTACTCATCCTCATTCCGCTACGTTCCGGGGCACTACCACCTTATGCGGCAAAACTGGCCAAGACGGTTCAAAACTAGCTTGTATATCAAAGTCATAAATGCTGTCTCAAATCCCTCATTTATTCTGCGTAGATTGAATAGCATGCTTGCAACCCCTTACCTATATATGCGGCTCACAGCGATGCGCGATCTCCCCAGATCTCGCTTCACTAGCGGCGGGAGTGCCTTGCGCTAGATCCCACCAAGCTGGCTGGATGCAAACGTCATGACTTTGGACGTCGCGAGATCGTCGCGTGGACGTCACAGCTGTCATAGCTTCACATTTCTTTTCGTAGAGCTTAGGTAAATCGCTCAATCTAGCCCTGGTCCTTTCAATCTTGCGTCTCGGACATCTACAAATTCAATCCGCTCATCACCCTCACACAAACCTCAATACGTACACAATGGCGAGCAGGACCTTCACACCAATGCTCCGCAATGCGGTTCGCGTCTCGCAGCGGAATGCCATGGCGGCACCGTGCCGTCGCTTCTTGAACACTGAGAGTGCGCCTAGCCTCTACTCAGCAAAGGCGCACGTAGTCGGCGCACGCACAGGGTACGATGAACTATTCCTCTGAGCACACGAGGAAACAAACTGACACATCTCCAGACATGTAGACGGCGAGAACCTGAAGGTCGACCTAACAATGGCCAAAGCCCTCGGCGGCCCCGGCGACGCCGGAAAGACCAACCCCGAAGAACTCTTCGCAGCCGGCTATGGCGCATGCTGTACGTTTCCATCCCCCCATGCACTCCATCCATTGCAAACACCCCAGCTAACCCCACTAGTCCAATCCGCGATGAACGCCGTCGCCCCCTCCCTCGGCGTCAAGATGCCCTCCACCCCCGAAGACTCGATCGTCGAATCCACCGTCGAACTCGTCGGCAGTATGAAAGACCTTGACATGGGTCTGCGCGTCCAGCTACTCGTCAAGGTACGCGGGTTGGCGAAGGAGGATCTGGAGAAGGTTGTGTATAAGGCGAGGCAGGTGTGCCCGTATAGTCGGGCGACGAAGGATAATGTTTATACGACTGTGAAGTGTGAGACTATGTAAAGAGGTCGTGATTTTGAATGACGGCGTGGAAGGGGATGTAGACGATGTAAAGAATTAACGAATGAGTTATGATTTCAAAGACGAGTTTCCTGCGAGCTTTCAACGATAGCAGCCAACACCCCCTCGGCCACATCTTCCCCATCCTCCGCTTCCGTAACCCAAGTCACGCGTCCACTACGTGGACTGCGTACTTCTAGCTCCATTTTCATTTGTTGAACCACGCAAATCACATCTCCTTCTTTCACCATGTCACCTTCGTCGACCAGCACTTCCACAAGCTTCCCCGGGAAGGGAATGCTGATGTGCGATGGATCGCTCGGGTTCCCTCGCCTATGATGCGACGTCGCTGCTGAAGCACTTGCAGAAGTTGAGGAGAGAATTATGGTGTAGGGTGTTGTTTGGGGTGTACTAGACGAAGCTGTTGAGGGCGTGGTGAAGAGAAGCTCTGCGCTTAGGGAGGTGGGGAAGTCGTTGCGCAGGACCCGGGTTAGTTCGAGGTGATGGGGTGGTGGTTTTTCTTTCGCTTTTGTGGTGGGAGAGGAGATGGAAATGGACCAGGCGTCGCCTTTTCGGAAGAGTGTGTTAGCTGTTGAGACTGAGGCTGGTGAGGAGGATGGCGCGATGCCTGAGTTCAGGGTGTTTGGGCTGGCTGAAGAGATATTCTGGCTTGATTGAAGGAGCTCGGTTTGTTTGCTTTCTAGCCATTGCGTGTCGCAGTGTCCGTTCAGGAAATCTGGGTGCGCGGCTATGGCTTTCAACATGTCGATGTTTGTCTTTACCCCTGCGATCTGTGTATCAACCAACGCTCGCTGGGCTTTACGAACGGCGTCTTTCCAAGATGACGCTGTTACAATGACCTTTGCGATCAGACTGTCGAAATCTGCGGATACCACGGTGGGTCGGCCGCTGATGAGATGCGTGTCGACCCTAATACCGTTACCCGAAGGGAACTGCAAAGAGGTGATCTTGCCAATTGATAACGACCAATCGCTTTGAACGTTCTCTGCTGTAATGCGCAGCTGAATCGAATGCGCTGGAGGAGGCACTTCTGGATCTCGTTCGGCTGTGGGTAGGCCGCAGTCATTCAGAGAAGCACCCTGGGAGAGTAACAGCTGTGCTTTGACGATATCAGTCATAGAAATGGACTCTGTGATCGTGTGCTCGACTTGTAAGCGAGGGTTGACCTCCAAAAAGTAGTAATCTTCTGTGGATGGGTTCATCAGGAACTCAAAGGTGCCGAGTGAGAAGTATTGTATCTATCTGGACGTAAGCGTGGTTCAGTATGGATCAGCATGGGTACTTGCGTGTCTCGCCATCTTCAAGGCATTCTTGATGACTTTTGCGATCAATTTGCGGTCAGACACAACGCTCGGTGCCAGTTCGACGATCTTCTGGTATCGTCTCTGGATGCTGCATTCGCGTTCCCATAGATGTGTCACGTTTCCAGTACCGTCCCCAATGATCTGGACTTCGATATGCCGGAAGCCATCGACTGCAGCTTTTTCTGCAAAGACTTGCTTGGACGGGCTTTCTTCGACTGCTCTTTTCACTAAAGAGGCAAGCTGATCTTCGCTGCGGATAAGACGGATGCCTCGGCCGCCACCTCCATCTACTGCTTTGACCATGATTGGGAACCCGACTTCAGATGCGAAGCGTTGGACGTCTTCGACTTTGTTAGTGGGTTGCTGGAGTGCTGGAGATACTGGGACGTCGCCTGTTTTACGTGTCAGTAATGCAACTCTAACGCGCCTTTTCTCTTACATTGTTGAGCAAGCTCTCTCGCTTTAAGCTTATCTCCTGTATTGCCCAAGATACCCCATCCAGGGCCGACGACTACGGCGCCAGTTTCTTCCCACACTCTCTTTGAGAAGCCTTCGGACTCGGATAGAAAGCCATATCCTGGATGTACAGCATCGATTCGGTGCTTTTTGACGATGCCGACAAGATCATCAATACTCATGAAAGATGAAGCTGATGATAGTTTGATCGCATGGCTTGCTCGGACGGCATGCGAGTCGTCGCCTGATACGTAGATTGCGATCGTCTCAATGTCGAGTTCTCGCGCTGAAGAGATAATTCGTGTTGCTATCTCTCCCCTACAGACAGTTAATCACGCTCACCAGGACACTGATTGGCCACTAACCTATTCGCGATAAGAAATCGCTTGATGGGTCTTTGTGGAGGTCGCGTCATATTCGAGTCCAGCCAGCAGTATGGATCGGTCAAGCAGTACATTCGTGGATATACCTAGGTACCTATGCCACTATACCATCAGCGGAATGACTCGAGTGGACGAGTCGTTGGTTAGGTAGAATGCGATTTGAATTATATGTTAAAGCGGGACGCTCGTTGAACATTCGATTCATCCACAATGACATGGTCGCGCATTGGTGGAGTGCGATGGAGGAGGGCAAGCGCGGGGAGCTTGAAGATGCCTCGGTTCCCCAGCTCTACCCCAACCTTCCACCACAACCATCCCATCTTGGTCCGAATTATCGAGATGTGACGATTTCGTTGTCGCTCCATCACTGGAGCTCGAAAACAACCTTGATTACACTTCTTCAACAGTCATGGCTGGTGACGAGCCCGGGCCAAAGCCCTCGCCCAAAGACGCGTCGACGTCATCCGAAACCGCCAAAGACCGACTCGCGCAGGTCAGCTCCCACATCGTGCCCAACACACCAAAGCGACGACGACGAAAGGGCGCAGACTCAGATCTGCCCGCTGATTACTCAGACATCCTTGGGCAGATTGCGACTCTGCGCAAAAGTGCCGCGACGCCCGACAAGAACAATAGGGGCTACGTGAGGCAGAAGCAGGCAGGGAAACTATGGGTGCGCGAAAGAGTCGAGCAGCTGCTTGATCCGGGGAGCTTCCAGGAGGTGGGCAGCGTGAGTGGGACAGTCAAGTGGAAGCAGTTGGGGCCAGTAAAAGAGGAACCAGAAGACTACGTGCCTTCGAACAACGTGCAGGGTATGTACCATGGATGGCATTGGGAAAATGTACTGACGGCGGGTAGGCTTCGGACGATTACGAGGTCGAAAGATTGTGTTCACGGCCGATGACTTCTCCATACGCGCTGGACACGCTGATGGCGCGCTTATGGAGAAGACCGTGAGTTCGATTCATTGCATCGATCCGTGCTGGTACTGACGACTGCAGATATATATGGAGAAGCTCGCAATCGCGTTGAAGCTTCCCATCGTCAAACTCGTCGATGGCTCATCAGGCGGCGGTTCCGTCACGACCATTCGCTCCACGGGTTTCTCCTACGTCCCTCCGCTACCGTCCTTCGCACAAGTCGTACAGCAGCTCAATAGGGGGATACCGAATCTGGGCGCGGTTTGTGGACCGGCGATTGGTCTAGGAGCAGCTCGTGTGGTGGCCTGCCACTTCTCGGTCATGGCTGCAGATATCGGATCTTTGTTCAACGCCGGTCCCAGTGTTGTGAAGAGCGCGACATTCGAGGAGGGTCTTTCCTTTACAGATCTTGGTGGGCCCGCAATGCATTGCACCAATGGCACAATCGATAACCTGGCGCCGGACGAGGCGGGCTGCTTTGAACAGATACGCACGGTTCTGAGCTACCTGCCCGACTGCGGTACGAAGCTGCCTCCAGCAATCGACTGCTCTGACCCAATCGACCGAATGTCCGAAAACCTCCGATCTATCATACCGCGCTCGAAGAACCGAATGTACAACCCGCGCGCCATCATCACCGAAGTCGTTGACCAAGGCTCGTTTTTCGAGATCGGAGCGCTCTGGGGAACTACGGCAATAGTAGGGCTCGCGCGGTTTGCGGGCAAACCAGTCGGGATAGTGTCTCTGAACTGCGAGCAGAACGCTGGCGCATTGGATGCATTGGGTTCGCAGAAGATCACACGCATGCTAAAGTTCCTCGATGTATTCAACCTCCCGCTCGTCCAATTCGTTGACGTCCCAGGCTACGCAATAGGAACTGTTGCAGAGCGCACTGCAACGATGCGGCACGGCGTCACTCTCGCTGCGACCTATTACAGCACGACCATGCCCATCTTCAACGTCATCGTGCGACGCGTCTACGGCGTAGCAGGAGGCATCATGCTAGACTGCCGCGACCCACGCATGCGCGTCGCTTGGCCGTCCGGCGTGTGGGGCTCCTTACCACTCGAGGGTGGCATTGAAGTTGGACATTCGTTTGAACTCAAGGAGATTGAGAGGAAAGAAGGAAGAGAAGCGCGAGACAGGCGTTATACAGAGTTGGAGAACGAGTACAAACGACTGATGAACCCAGTTCGTACTGCGAACGCGTTTGGTATCGAGGAGATCATCGATCCGGCATATACACGGCGAGTTTGTTGTGAGTGGACAGATCACATGTATGAAAGCTTACTGCCAGAGCGCATTTTGGAGAGGATCGCGGGAAAGTTGCAGCCTTCCTTCGCTTAGAGTTGGATATCGCGTTCGTGTCCGAAAGAGCTCTCGCGAATACATACGATTTGGACTCTATCCTCTAGCACAGTCATTTATTCACCGGTCACCTACACTGCGTCATGGCAACAGCCGGTCAGAGATAGCGCTGAGTTTACGATACGTTCGCAACATCTGGAGTAGTCCGTCAGACACCATCGCTTACTTACACCGCATCGCTTACCATAAGACATACCGCGCACGGCCCACTGTTGTCCATCTTCCGCAATCGGCTCGTTATATCCTGCTTGTATATCCAATGCCATGGAGCCGAAGGTTCGTCCTCCGGATGCGGTGCCGTGCTGACCATTTTGGAACAGGCTGGCCGTCAAAGTGGTATCGCTGATCAAGTCATTACTGGGCACTTTACCCCTCTTGGCATGTCCTCTGATTGAGGATACTTACATCGAGTATAAGATGTCATCGTGTATCATGCGCACGTCTTTTGACTCCGACTTACAGATTTCTTTATCCCATAGCGCCGAACAAACATTACGCAGATACGTGTGTGTTTCATGCCCACAGTCATACGAACAGCGACACAAAAGCGAATCTGCGTGGCGTACTACTCTATCCGCGTACCACAACTTTAAGGACGATCCTTGATTCGTTACTGGACCTCGTATACGACCACCAACATCGCCCGGGTGCGGGGCAAAGGTCAATGCACCCCTACCCCAGCACAACTCTACCACAGCCCTTCCAGTTTCGCTTTCTCACCTGCATGCAGCTTGATGATACGAGCCATGATGCGCCGCACAAATCTGGGGTATATAGAACTAACGGGCATGTCCGCAAGCCCCGGACGCCCATCACTGCTAGCCGCCACTGCTTCGTTTATCTGTCTAGTGACATTCCCTCGACTTCTGCTGGAGCCGCAGTCTGAAGTGTGATACTGAAGATGGCGCCTGTTGGCGCTGCGGCGGCTGCGAGGCAGGCGGAACCGATATTGACGCGCATTGTTGAACAGGACCAGATACCTTGGTACAGAAAGCGGAATTTGAGGAGGCTGTATGCACTCTTGCTGCCGACATGTATTGGGATTGAGATGACTTCTGGATTTGATTCGCAGATGATCAACGCAGTGCAAATCGCGCCAACATGGCGGCGCTGTAAGTCGAGGTTTCGGCCACAACATGCCGTTGCTGACAACGTAGACTTCAATAACCCGCAAGGAGCGCTTCTGGGTATCATGTCTTCAGCATACAACCTTGGCGCAATCTGCGCCCTTCCACTGGTGCCGTACGTCAACGATAGATTTGGCCGACGATGGGCAATCTTCTTAGGCTCTTGGATCATGGTCGTAGGATCTGTAGTACAAGCCTTCTCCATTAGCGGTAGGACTGAACGTTCAATAATCAGATGAAGTTTGTACTAACACGTTATAGCTGGCATGTACGTCGGCGCGCGCTTCATCCTCGGTTTCGGCATACCCTTCTGCATCATCGCAGGTTCATCACTAATGGGCGAGCTTGCATATCCCAAGGAACGACCCATCATGACATCTCTCTTCAACGCCCTCTGGTTTGTAGGCTCGCTCATAGCAGCAGGAGTCTCATACGGCACCCAAAGTCTAAAAGACGACTGGGCCTGGCGCATACCTTCGCTGCTCCAAGCCGGCCCATCACTACTTCAAATCGTCTTCATCTTGTACCCGCCTCACCCCCACTGCTTCCAAAGTCTCACCAAGCTAACCTCTCCAGCATGATCCCCGAATCCCCACGCTTCCTCATCTCCAAAGACCGCCGCGAAGAAGCCTACGCCACGCTGATAACGTATCACGCCGAAGGCGCCACCACCTCGCCTTTCGCCGCCGCAGAAATGGCCCAAATCGAACACACCATCCGCATCGAACTCGAACATTCCAAACGCTCCTGGCGCGAAATGATCGCCGTCCCCGGTCTACGCAAGCGCGTGATAATCGGTTCTTTCCTCGGCCTCTTCACCCAATGGTCTGGAAACACGCTACTGAGCTACTACCTCAACCAGCTGCTCAACATGATCGGGTACGACGACCCTGGCTTCGTCGGCAAAGTGAATGTTGGGCTCAATAGCTGGAATCTGGTGAATGCAGTGTGTATTTCGCTATTGGTGAGGCGGTTTCCGCGAAGGAAGATGTATCTCATCTGCGCGAGTAGTCTGTTGTGTTGCTACGTCGCGTGGACGGTGGCGATGCAGCGGTATACGGCTACGAAGAGGATTGAGCCGGCGAGGTTGACGATTGCGATCATCTTTTTGTATCAGATGTGTTATAATATTGGGTATAATGCGTTGACCTACAGTGAGTTCACTCCAGGGTGTTTGATATGGGAGAGGTTGCTAATACCCATTCAGCTTTTCTGGTGGAATTGTTTCCATTCGCGCAACGCACGAAGGGGATTACTATCTTCCAGTTCTTTAGTCGGACGGCGGTTTTTACAACGACGATACTCAATCCTATTGGGTTGAAGCATGTTCAGGGGAAGTGGCTGATCATGTATTGCGCTTGGCTAGGATTTGAGATTATCTTCATCGTAAGTTACCTTTCTATCCTTAGTCTACGTTACCCAAATGCAGTCCATCCGCTAATGCATTCGCAAAGTACTTCATGTTCCCCGAGACATACGGCCGCACATTGGAAGAACTCGCGTTCCTCTTCGAAGACCACGCACTCGCTGATGAAGCGACGACGCATGTCGAGAAGCAGATGGAGTGGGCTGAGAGGCGGTGGAGCCGGATTGATGAGCACATGAGTTGGGAGATGGATGTTGTGGTGCCGAGGAAGGCGCATCATGGTCAAGGAGAAGGAGGCAATGATGTAGGAACGCTGGACACGAGGGAAACAGTTCAACGGCATCAGTATCGGAGACGCAATAGTAGCTGGGAGGATCTTAGGCAGCTGTAGTCGCGTATTTATTTGCATATCAAGATTGTTGTCTCTGCCTGCGATGCTTCACTCTCCCACTGACGCCCCAGCAAGTTACAGTTTTGAACCTTATCCAAGCCGCATGTCTGACAGCAGAAGAAGGTACTGTTATAAATGATGTACAATGGTTTTCTCGTGACGTGAACAATCACTCTACCCAGAACAGAACTAATCCCAGTGCGAACTGGTTTTCTTGACTACTACCTTCACGAAGAAGAGTGCACCTTTCTCTGGCTTTAACTGCGACCTGATTCTGTTCCGCGCTAGCTATCGAACTTGTTCTGCGGTATTCTTTGTAACAAGCGGCCTACAGGATTGTGGTGTTGTAAAAACAGAAGCGTCCGCAACGAAGACATGCCCTAACGTTACCTGTTCAAACTCTTACTTTTAGACGTAGTACATTATGCTCTAATCCTTCTCTCCCCTTTCGTTAAAGTTCTGCGCAAACACCACGCTATCATCCATCATCAGTGTGGCATCCACCACGCCGCCGTCACTCCCGTCCGCAAAAAAATCGCCAACACTCCAAAAATGACAGAGTTTCTTCCCACGCATCACCCAGCACTGTAAATGACGCATAGATTGGCAAAAGAAAGGTCTTGCCCGGAATCGAACCGGGGTTGCCGGAAGATACTGATTTTAAGATCAGAATCCGGAGTGATAACCGCTACCTATATGGTGATTAGCGGGGGCAAGCTGGAAGTGGGAATCTGTGAAGACGTACACTACAAAACCGATGGCAATTTGGAAATTACAACGATAATATAGACTGCTTTTAAACTTACTCGCGGCTGTGGGCAATAATCAGAAACACTGGTTGAGAAATCCTGTGTGTGGATGTTTGAGTGTGATGTGGGGCTGGCTGATGAGGGGTAGGTTTGTTGGCCGACCCCGCCGGATCGTGTTAAGTGGAAGAATCTTACGTGCACAGCTTGCTTCTGCACTCCGCAGTAAATTTTGCATCTAGGTTGTCGCAACTTATGCTTCACTGCAAGATCTGCAGTCTGGTCAATATGCGAAGGTATTATGTGCTCCATGGCCAAGATCAATTCCATTGAAGTCCAATGCAACCACCCTACGGCGCCTTAACACCCTTCCCACTACTCCCACAAATATCCATCCACCTCTCCGTCGCCTCCTGTATAACATCCATCTGCATATCAATCAACTTCGCCAGCGGCGTCGTTGGCGCATTCTTTCTCAAAACCTCGTTGCCCGGCTCCAGCAACAACTTATTCACATTCAGCTTAACAGCACCAGATCGTATGCACCGTTGCATGACCTCAGGCGGGAAGTCGTTAGTACCGTGTAACGCGACCAAGACGCGCTTGTTGATCTGCTTGTCGATCGCTTCGAGGCGGTCGTAGTGTAGTTGACCTTCTTTCGGTCCAGCTGGGCCGTAGTCGCCGTGGACATTGCCGATTGAAGGCGCGAGGATATCGACGCCTGCGGCGATGAAGTTGTCGACGTCTTCGGGGGAAGTGAAGAGTGCTGGTAAAGTCAGTATTTACTCTTCATTCCCAATCTCAAGAATTTGGTATGGCATACCTTCAAGGTCCCCAGTATCAGCAATACCATCCTCTCCGCCGTTTATCCGTCCGCTCTCTGCTTCTACTGCGATACCCTTGTCTTGGCATTCTTTAGTTAATATCCTCGTCTTCTCTAGGTTTTCGGCTTCGTCGTAATGTGACATGTCCACCATTACTGAGTCGACAGGGAGTGTCGCAATGATCTCCCGGATGTGCTCGACATCCTGCGCGTGGTCGATATGTAGAGAGAGAGGTACTGTCGCGGTCTTCACGGCGTGCGCCGCGGCATGCGCGAGGAGGGGTAGTTGCTTGAGGGTTGATGGGAAGAGTTGGATGATTAGGGGCGATTTTCTTGACTCTGCTGCGCGAACGAGAGCTGTGAGTTGCTCGACGTTGTAGCTGTAATCCAATTAGCATCGTCATTGATACGTGTAGAAGGTGTCGTACGCAATTGCGGCCATGACGCCGTAGTCGCCTGCGGCAGCGGCATTGAGTATGGCGAGCGTACGGTTATCTTTGCTGACTGGCATGATGGCTACAGAACGATGTATAGGGATGATGTCTTTGATGTTTTATCGTATTGTTATGTAGTGTTGGGAGAATTCGAGCGCATTCAATTCACCATATCGGAACCGTCTCGGAATTGAAGCTATTATCATATCCCCGCGGCTTCTTGATTCGGGAAAGCCGCGGAGTTTGAGGACTGTCATTGGTGCTCGTCGCGAGCAGCTGTGGATGGCCTTGACGGAGTTGCGAGCGACGCGGCGGGCACGATGGAACCGCCCGACGGGCCTTAGCCGATGTGCCTCGTAACGAGGCCCAACCATCCCAGAGAGGCGATCGGCCCTCCAACATGTACCCCGCTTCTACTCCATCTCTGCAGGGAATTGCACGACGGCGAACATACATGTCCGTGTGGGGTCTCTGGGGAAGGCGAGCTTGAATAAGAGTCTGCTCCGCTACAACCTCCGACTTCTGCCTCGCAACGTGACACTCCGACCTTGTCATGCTTTCCTGATCTTGACCCGGATCCGAGTCATGCGACCAACTCATCGGAACCACACCTGCATCGCAGTGGAGTCAAGGCAAGTGCGGCTGAACATGCGGCTGAAAGTCTGTTTTCCTGCGGTCCGACAGATGCCGCATTGCCGCGATGACGAAATTGGTATGCACTCATGGAGAAAGATCGGACTTGAGCTGCATTCGGCACGATATCGAAGGTTATGATTCGGCTCGCCAATAGCTGGTGAGGTCAGTGAGTAATGTCTTGGGTGGAAACTTGGTTATGTCAAGTGTTTGCTCGAGAAGATGCAAGATAGCGGTTTGTTTGACAGGGTTCTGAACGCATAGGCCAGCTAGAAACTGTAAGCATTGTTTTGGACGACATGCGTTTGATAAGCTTACCAGCATAGATAGACTTGAAGTTGACCATGGCGCTCGCGATATCTCTACCTTGATGCGTTATGGCGATGCCGCAGATCATGTCTACACTTTCGTCCAGAGTGCGCTGTCGAATTCTGAACTCGTCCACACCTCCCATCGATGGCTGATTGATGAGAACGATGATTCGCGCAAAGTGAAAGGTTTGCATAGCAGCAGCGTACGAAGGAGGATGGATCCAGATGGGCGTGAACAGGGCGCCAGGTCCAGGTGGAGGTCCGCGATGGATAGGCTGAAACGACATTGGGAGGGCCGCATGCCAGTCTTCCAGCGCTTGTAAAAGCTTTCCTGCCTGCTCGATGCGCGTGTTCAGATCGTACTTCTTTTCGTTTGCCGCAAAGTCTACACATCTTCCACATATGTACACAATTCGTAACGCAAGTTCATCCGGGGTGAGATCCATCAAACGCTTGGTAGGCCGCCAGATGGTGAGCACCCTTCGTCCTTCGCGGAACGCAACCCAAGTGTCTTGACGTATCCATTGCCACCAGGCAGCTCTCCGGAGTGGATCCGGAGATTCTCCGTTGTTGTTCTGACTGCGTTGTATCCAAAATATGCCACGAAGATGTCTCTCCCAGGCTCCATTACTGTACTGGCCTTCAGAGTCCCACATCTCATATGTGCTGATGAGTATGGAGGTTGATATTATCTCCCTGGACTTATTGTAAGACGGGTAAAAGAGATTCTTCGATAGGTAATGCAGAGTCTCATAATAATACTGCGTCGCAACCTGGATCAACGGGCTATGAAGTTGTCTGGTCCTACCATCTTCAGCGCCTGGTTCCGGATCATGTATGTTAAGCCGACGAAGCTGCGGCTCGTTCAGGAGTGCCATGTGCCGCGCCGACACGGCGAGCAAAGACTTCAAAAGGCCAACATTGTGGACCGCTAGAGAAGGAACAGTGTATGTGAACTGCTTAGAAGGGTCGTTCAAGTCCAAAATGGGACCAATGACATTGACGTAGTGTTGGAAGAGCACAAGTTCGTCGTCCGACATGGGTATGACATCGATACAGTTCCACGGCTCGTGTCCCGATGGATCGGCATCTTCGGTTCGTTCATATGAAAGCGGATGTCGATCAGAGCTTGCTCCGTCGGTTGCTGGACTTTGCTGTCTGGACAAGTTGTTCCTGTCTAGGTCCACATTGAGATTGTACTTGTCGATATTGTTGATGGCATCTTCAGCAAGCAGGTCGTAATAAGCTAGAGGTGCGGAGTTGGGAGAAGGTAGCGAGTTGATGACAGTCGATGGCGATTCAAACAGGAGCTCGGGAGAAGCGTTCCAAAGCTGAGGATCAATTTCAGGTGGGATTGCTCGTCTGGCAGGCGCCGGTGATGTAGTGGCAATAGAAGAGGCATCCTGAGCCGGCGACGTGTCAGACTGTACAGAGCCAGATGCATTGCTTGCTGCACCTCCAGGAGGGTCATTAGGTGATGGCCATAAGCACTCTCTGTCGGATTTGCTGCATGTTGCGCATCGTGGTCTTAGCTCGTCACATTTCACCCTCCTTCGTCTACAGGTTAGGCTGTTTGTGTTAGCTAGTGATCAACTGTATACTTTGTACGCTGCCGCTGATCGGGCTAGCGAGCTTCATCATGAGGTGAGACAAGACAACACGTGCTGAGGGAACAGCTTACCATCCAGTTGTCGTACGTAAGCCCTGCAAGAGAAGCGTCGAGTCAGTATAGCTCTCACATGCAGTGGAGATGGGCAAACTTACTCGCGCTCGTGAGGGACGGGGTTTGCGCGGCTTGGGATTGCCTGTTGACGATGCTTGCATCACGAATGATGTTGCGCATGCTGGTGGAACTTCGCTTGGCCCTCGAGGATCCGCTTCGGCGGTTAGGCCTGCCGTGGGGAACGAGTCTCTGACCAACGGGACAGGCTTCAGACTAGTCCAGGATGACACAGCGCATGCGGAGCCCAGTTGTTGATATCTCGCGAACCTAGGAAAGGCGATCAGACGGTGGTTGGGAAACTGTGGCAATTTCGCAAAAGGCCCGCGTCGG